GAAAATAAGAAGAGTAATGTAACAAGCCCAAGTACAGACATAACTGAGGGACCCAAGCATTGACTGTAGTCATCTGACCACCACACTCACACTTTGAAGCACTGCATGGCGCTTTGAACTGCTCTCAGAAAATACCAAAAATAAGGTGAATTCTAAATCTCACCACCTATTGGTTCCTGGGGAAATCTCTTCTTTAGTGAGAAAATTACATTCAGTGACTAAATAAAATGCGAGCTTGTGTCTGAGTTTTATTTCTCCAGGTAAGATATTGAGGATGAGCTTCACAGATACCCAATGTGGAGAATGTTCTTCACCACTTCTCCAGGGCTGCCTCCAACATATTCTCAGAGAACAAAATGGAAGGAAGCACAAGTTCTCTCTTTTACTTCCAACTAGAATTTATCAGGTTTGCTTGAGAGGTCATGAACCTGTAGAACTGCCTCTCAGTTGTCCCCAGGGTTTGAAATTTTCCCATCAGTATGATTCGCCAAGAAACAGTTTTACACTCTGACTTACAGAAGAGTTTGCAAACCATTTACATTTCTGATTAATTATAGTGAGGTTTTGGTTATTTGTTTTGTGTCCCCCTTCTGCTTTTAAAAAATAGCTCCGAGTTTCTATTTGAAGATGCTTTCATTTCTCTTTAAGTTCAATAATAAAATTCTGTGTATGCTGGGATGGATAACATATTTTCATACTAAATGTAAAAGCTGAGACCTAGGATGAGACACAGTATTGATTCTTGAACATATAAAGTTGTTAAGTTAAGGTGCCAATGAATAACATATGTCATACATAAATGTACAAATATGTATAGATTTACCCAAATGTTGTCTTTTTCTTTCAATGCCAAATCTTGATATTCCATGACTTTGAAACTAAAAGCCTGACAACTTCTGTCCTTCGGTCATTTATATGGCTAACAAGCTCAACTCACCAAATAGTTTGAAGTTCAAGCCCACCCCAGGACATGTCAGAAGCCAAGCATGGTCATCTACATGCAAAAATTGTAAGTCTTTGAAAATCTTACTCAGTCCTACTCTGACACATATGAGTTCCTGGTGGGT